AAAATATTTAAATTTATTTTTAAAATGAAAGTCATTAAGAAAATTAAAAGGCAAGCTACAGATTTGGAGGAAAAAGTGACCAAACATTTACCTAGCAAAGGATTTGTATCAGCATGTGTAGAGTACTCTCTGACTCAATAACATGGAGGTAAAAATAACATTTTAAAAATAAAATATTTGAACAAACCTTTTACTAAAGAAGATTTGTATATTGAAAAGAAGCTTAGCATCATTAGTCATTAGAAAAGTGCAAAGTAAAAACAAGGGAAGATACTACACACAATGGTCATAATAGAGTAAATTTAACAGCACAGTTCCACAGTGGAAACTTTTATACATTGCTTATGGGAATTCAAATGTTCTTTAGCCATTCTGGAAGCGTTTGGCAGTTTTTTGATGTTAAGCACATTTAACATGAGCCATCAACTCAGTGTAGTTATAAGGACATTTGTAAAGTTCTAGTTATTTATCAAATAGAAATGAAAACAGGTCCGCACAAGGACTTGTAAGTGAATGCTCATAATTGGAAACAAATGAGATGTTCTTAATCTAATAAATGGATAAACAAATTGTGATGTAATTGCGGTAGTATTCCATACTATCCAGCAGTAAAGAGGAAAGAATAACTATTGTACACACCAGCATGTATGAATATCAAAGCATTATGCTAGGTGGGAAAAAATCCATGCACAAGTGATTGTATACTATACCATAAATATGAAACACTAGATAAGGCAAAACTACAGTGAAAGAACAATTTGGTGTTGCCTGCAGCCAATGAGAAAGGGAGTAATTGCAATGGGCCATGAGGGTTGTTGGAAATATTTTACATCTTGATTATGTTGGTGATTACATAACTGCATGTGAGTATTAAGCTATATATGTAATGAAAGGGTTTTATTGTATATAAGTTATACCTGAATAAAGCTGATTACTTAAAAGAAAACAAAACCCAAATATCAACCGTATAGTAAGTTTTAAAAGAAACATAAATTCAACTTTCTCTATTGGCTTGATAGACTGTAATTGCATGTGACTGATGGGTTTGCTCATGTGATACTATCACAGTCACTGTAGTGTGTGTACCCATACTATAAACCTTGAGAGGGGTTCTGAGGACTATAATCACTCATATGGCACTGTGATTTATATTTTGAGGGGGGAACCTTGTGAGATAACCCACACTGGCATCTGATCTTGTCTCAACTCAACAAAATATGTCAGTTCACAATGTTTAAATTTGAGATTGACTTTTGTGTGTGCAACAAAAAGTGTTTAGCTTTTACCTTTCATAAACCTTCCCAATAGAACTAATTCCTTTAGTTGTGTTTATTGAGGT